TCATCCCACCTACGTTCCTGCCTCAGCAGCACAACCGTTCTCACTTCTGAGTCCGCTTTGGTTCCTGCCCACCTGCGTATGCACTCACAGACTCGTAACATACACACGGCGCTGAGCGCTCCGCGGTGTTTACTAAACAGTATGGCACAAACATTTGCCACGTCGCTGCGGTCTTCGTAAGGACCGTTTTCATGATCACGTAATAGTTTGCCTGCTGGTGCGTCCTCACCAGCTCTTTCTGTTCTAGGACCTGCTTTTCCTTCCACTGCTCCTCCCAGCTCCTGGCAATCTTTGAGGAATTCGTCCTGGCTGCCTCCGGTCACGTTGCCATCCAGATGCAGAGAAGGCTGCGTCACAGCCCTGCCCGCTCCTCTCTGCCTCCCAGGGTCCTGGACCCCTTCAGCTTCCTTGCCCCGGCCCCCACCTCCTTCCAAACTCCCTGTCTTGTTGGCAGCGGAAAAGGCACCAGGCTAAACCGTGGGACAGTGTCGGTGCACCTGGCTTTGAGATAGTTTTAAATACCTGCAAGTCGGCTCCTCCTCGGAGAGGAGAGTCTGCAGTTTACTCCTCTGTGTGTTTTGAGGGAGATGGTGAAAGGGGTCTGTGGGCTCTGCTCATGTCGCAGAGCTGGGGACTCGGGGCCGAGCCCTCTCTAGGAACCTAGAGTCCGTGTTCCAAGCCCAGGAGTGTAGCTTGGGGTGGGGGATGCAAAAGTGCACCAGCCCCACCCTTGGCAGGCACCACACTGTTGCTGCAGCCCTCACTGTGGTCTTGACGGCGTCTCTGCTTTCTGCTGCTTTAGCTATAACTTCCTCCAGCCCAGCACAGAGGGCTCCTGATCTCACTAGAGCAAGCGCCCAGTTTTCCATACCTCTGCCTTCTCACGAGCCAAATAATGAGTTTAGGGATGATTAAAAGAATATAGTGGCCGGGCGCGGTGGTTCATGCCTGTAATCCCAGCACTTTGGGAGGCCAAGGCGGGCGGATCACTGGGTCAGGAGTTTGAGACTAGCCTGGCCAACATGGCGAAACCATGTTGCGAAACCATGGCGAAATCAGTATACAAAACTGATTTATAATAATAGCCAATACTTATGGAATACTTACAATATCAATACACCAGGTACTCTGCTAAAAAGTATTTTACAGTGGCTGGACACGGTGGTTCATACCTGTTATCCCAGCAGTTAGGCTGAGGCGGGCGGATCACCTGAGGTCAGGAGTTTGAGACCAGCCTGGACAATATGGTGAAACGCCATCTCTACTGAAAATAGAAAAAATTAGCCCGGCGTGGTGGCAGGCGCCTGTAGTCCCAGCTACTTGGGAGGCTGAGGCAGGAGAATCACTTGAACCCGGGGGGCGGAGCTTGCAGTGAGCCAAGATCATGCCACTGCACCCCAGGCTGGGTGACAGAGCGAGACTCTGTCTCAAAAAAAATAAATAAATAAAAAATAAAACAGGGAATTGAGTTGCCTGGATCCTCCCTGGAGTCCCAGCTGTACTTTCCCCCAAGCGCCCCAGCCACCCATGCAGGGAAACAAGTTCAGGCAAAGCAGCGATGAGCTGTTCCTTTTTCATTCCCTCCAGAGGCGCCCTGTGGGCCTGGTTCCCTGTGAATTTCCCGTTAGAGGCTTCACCCTGCTTTCTCGTTGGAAGTCTGTATTTCCGGCCGGGTGCGGCGGCTGACGCCTGTAATCCCAGCACTTCAGTCCCATTAGAAGCTTCACTGTGCTGTCTCTTTGGAAGTCTGTATTTCGGGCCGGGCGCGGCGGCTCACGCCTGTAATCCCAGCACTTTGGGAGGCCGAGGCAGATGGGTCACCTAAGGTGGTGAGTTTGAGACCATCCTGGCCAACATGGCGAAACCCCATCTCTACTAAAAATTAGCCACGTGTTGGGGTGCCCACCTGTAGTCCCAGCTACTCGGGAGGCTGAGGCAGGAGAATTGCTTGAACGCGGGAGGCGGAGGTTGCAGTGAGCCAAGATTGCGCCACTGCACTCCAGCCTGGGCAACAGAGCGAGACTCCGTCTAACTAACAAACAAACAAAAAACCTGTATTTCGGAGAACCTGCTTCAAGGGCTGGTGGAACAGAGAGTGTGTGAGGGGGGAGAAAGGGAAGAAGTGACTGTGGTCTCAGAGGGAGGTGGGTGGTGCAGAAAGCTGCAGGTACAGGACTTCCCCTGCCCTGGTTAAGACAGTCCCCATCCCAGGTGCTGTGAGAACCCCAGCAGCGTCCATGGCCTGGCAGAAAGAGCAGCAGCTTCTGCAACAGGTAGATCGGGGTTCCTGTCCCCAGTGTAACCACTGCCTGGCTGGGTGACCTTGGGGGGGCACTTGACCATCTGTAAGGGGGATCCCGGTACTGCCTGCCTCGTCTGTGATGAGGATTAGCCGTCTGTGCCGTGCCAGCACCGGGCAGACGCGCCGCAGAAGCCAGTTCCGTTTCCCACCCCTGGTTCATCTTTGGAGGGTATGTACTCGTCGGGGCTGTATGCCAAGCTCATCAGGACCAGTCGAGGGGGAGGCGGCCTGGCACAGCAGACGAGGATGGTTTCCCCCATGCAGGTGCCAAGAACGAGTGGCTCCCTTGGGCCCAAGCTGGTTTCTGCTTATGCAGACAGTCACATGGGCCAACACGGCCCGTCCCTGCACACTTCGTCTTAGGCTCTTAGGCATGATCTGGTGGAACCGTTCCTCAGGGGAAGCCGCTGAGTGCCCCTCAGCAGCCAGGTGGGGGCTCTGTGTCCTCGCCCTGCCGTCCTGGGCCCCACAGGCATGGACTCAGAAGAGGCTGCAGCCAGGGTCACGAAGAAGGCCCCTTGGAGGAGGCCCTCGGAGAGCCCCAGGCGCTGAGCTGGGAAGTGCGCAGCTTTGCCTTCAGACTGACTTCTCCTCCCTCTCCGTCCCGCATGCCTGCTTCTCTTCCACAGACCCACTCAGCATCCCACGCCGGGGCACACGCGGGCCGACCGCGGGGCTTACCACGACAACAGGGGCTCTGGTTTACCCCCGTGCTCATCACTGCCCGATCTCAGAAACACCAACTCTGGGGAAGGACCTTGCCGGGGGGACTTTGGGAAGGGCCTGTGGTGACGGGAGGGGCTCCTGTGCGGCCAGCTGTCCCTGTGGCAGCCCCCGGACCCGGTTTCTTTTGGGCCGCTGTCTCGAGACCAGCCCCCGAGCCTCGTGGATGGACACAGCTGGCGTGGACCCCGGCCTCCGGGGATAAAATGCAGCCATGAGGACGTGGCTGGAAATGCCCGGGTCTCTTGTGTGGCAGCACATGCAGCTCCTCAGGGGCGCTGTCCACGCTGAGCACATCCAAGGAGCCCCAGCGAGAGCCGACTGCGTGTGTGTGCGCGTGCTTGTGCTTTGTGTGTGTGCGTGTGTGTGCGCGTGCTTGTGCTTTGTGTGTGTGCGTGTGTGTGCTTGTGCTTGTGCTCGCGTGTGTGTGTGTGTGTGTGTGTGTGTGAGAGATGTCGGAGTGGCCGTCCTCGAGAGCCCATTCTCTGTGGACCTGCTCCCTGAAACATTAGCCACTTTGTCTCATAGGTGTGAACATAATGGATTCATTGATTCCTTTCGGAGGCAGGCACGCCCGCTGTGCCGGTGGCCGCAGCAGGGTACGAAACACGAGGGCCGTGTGTCTGGTACCTCGGCATCCCCCCGGCAGGGAAGGAAAATGTCAGCGGAGCAAATTACTGACCGAATACTTGGGAATCTATAAATATTAAATTGCTCTGGCTTTCACATAAAATTCAGGCTCTGGGCAGCCCAGGAGGAGAGGCGTCTGGAACGTGCAGGGTGTGTGGGGGGAGCGGCTGTCAATGGAGAGACAAAGGTCCCCAAAGGGTGGGGCCCAGGCCGACACTGTGGGCTGCGGCTGGGGGTGCGCAGCCCTGGCTGGAGGACAGGCTGCGGGGAATGGGCTAGAAGAACGGAGACGCAGAAAACCCACGTGCAGCTGTGACCACTGTGGGGATTTCTCTGAGTTTTCATTGAAGGCTTTTTGGTTGGGGTTGCCTGTGCTTTGCAGGAAAGCTTTCTGTGACTTTTCTTCCCCAGCCCTGGGGAGGGAGGGGGGCTGGGGTGCAGACGGCGGAGGCTGCAGTCAGCTGTCGTCCTCTCTGTGCAGCCAGCCTCAGGTTCCTTCCCGCACTGGCCCTGCGCTCACTGTGGCCGGGCGAGGGCCCCTCCTCTCGCATTGGTGGCCACAGCACGTGCACCGTGTGGTCTCTGCACCGCCTGCTCCGTGTTTGACGCCTGCAGCCGGGGAGGATCTTCTGCGTCTTTGGGATCTCTTTAGGAGGCCAGCAGTGAGCGATCGCTCCGATGTGCCAAGACCCTGTGCTAAGTTCTTATTTATTTATTTATTTAGAGACGGAGTCTCGCTCTGTCACCCAGGCTGGAGGGCAGTGTTGCAATCTTTGCTCACTGCAACCTCTGCCTCCCAAGTTCGAGCAATTCTCCTGCCTCAGCCTCCCGAGTGGCTGGGATGACAGGCATGCACCACCACGCCCAGCTAGTTTTTGTATTTTTAGTAGAGACGGGGTTTCACCATGTTGGCCAGGCTGGTCTCGAACTCCTGACCTCAAGTGATCCGTCCACCTCAGCCTCCCAAACTGTGTAAGTTCTTTAACTGCGTGAACTCATTGATCTTTCCATAGCAGAATAAGGTAGGAACAACACCACCCTCATCAGGTTGCAGCTGAGGGCGCTGAGGCCCCGAAATGTGAAGGTGACAGGTTACAGGCCCACCGGAGCGGGTTCCATGGCTCCCCCTGGCCAGGCCTGGATTCTCCCCAAGTTTTGTGACTTCAGACCTGGACTCCTCATTGTGAGCCTGTACCAGGTCCTCGGTGGGCTCCTCCGCGGCGGGTGGGACCCCAGCTGGACTCCGCAAGCCTCCTGCCAGGCAGGGCCTGCATCTCCCAGGCCAGTGGCCAAGCACCCCCTCTTCCCCTCGGGCACCCCCACAAGCACCCCCTTTTCCCCTCAGGCATCCCCACGCTCATCGTGCTGGACCCGCAGGGCGAGGTGATCACACGGCAGGGGCGGGTGGAGGTGCTGAACGACGAGGACTGCCGGGAGTTCCCCTGGCACCCCAAACCCGTGCTGGAGCTCTCCGACTCCAACGCCACGCAGCTCAACGAGGGCCCCTGCCTCGTCCTTTTTGTAGGTATGAAGCTCACGGGGGGCCCAGGTGGGGGTGGGACAGGAGAGGCCTCACTTGGGAGGAGCCTGTCCTTGCAGCTTCTCTGTCACTAGCAGTGCAAGCCTGGGCCTTTGTCTCTCCCCGGAGCCTTGCTTTTGACCCCGATGATTTATTCATGGCCCTGTGGGAGCTGCAGCTGCACTTTCCCTCCTAGCTGCTCCCCAGCTGCCAGCTGGGCAGAACAGGTCAGGCCGAGGATGCCCTGGGGACCCCATGCGCAGACCCATTGTTGGAAAGGGGCGGGTCGCACACACACAGCTGCCGGGGGCTGGGCCCTCTGGCCGAGGCTCACCAAGGCTGCTTCTGCCAGTGCTCTGTGCTCAGGTGAGCTGCTCCCGCCCCGCCCCGTGGCTGCCCTGGCTCCTCTGTCCTCGCCTGCACCTCCCCGTCTCCCGTCTCACCCACTCTGTGCTCCAAGGGTGACTGCTTAGCTGGGCCAAGAGGACACAGGCACATCCACGCCAGGCTCCCTGCAGTCTGGTGGGATGGCCCTGGTTCCTTTTGCAAAACCTGGTCCTCTGCCTTGGACTTAGGGCTCCCCTCCAACAACTCAGAATTACCGTGCGAGGCTGGGTGTGGTGGCTCACGCCTGTAATCCCAGCATTTTGGGAGGTCAAGGTGGGTGGATCACCTAGGGTCAGGAGTTCGAGACCAGGCTGACCAAAATGGTGAAACCCTGTCTCTACTAAAAATACAAAAATTAGCCAGGCACAGTGGCACGTGTCTGTAGTCCCAGCTACTTGGGAGGCTGAGGCAGGAGAATCACTTGAACCCGGGAGGCAGAGGTTGTGGTGAGCCCATATGGCACCACTGCACTCCAGCCTGGGCAACAGAGAGGCTCTGTCTCAAAAAACAACAACAAAAAAAGCCACTGACCAGACCACAGTCCTCACCCCCTCCCCCTCACCACCAGTTTCACTAGGAAGTCGGAGGTCCGAGGTTGTGGCTTCTCATTCTGTGGCTGAGAGAAACGAGCAGGCGCCTCAGGTCCTGGCTTAGGGGAAGCTCAGCCTGGCGGGCGGGTTTGTGAGGAATGCAGTGGAAAGTCTCTGCCTGGGGCCCCAGAGCTACTCGGTGGGGTGGGCGAGCCTGGTGCAGGGAAGACTGTCTGTCTGGGGCCCCAGAGCTACTCGGTGGGGTGGGCGAGCCTGGTACAGGCGAGACTCTCTGTCTGGGGCCCCAGAGCTACTCGGTGGGGTGGGCGAGCCTGGTGCAGGCGAACTCTGGGAGCTTTGCTGCTGGGTCGGGTGTGCAGGAAGTTCATTTCCATTCAGGGGCTGCTCAGGTGGGCGTTTCTGCAGCTCAGGCCCCCTCAGCGGGTGCCGCTCTGTTTGACAAGCCAGTGTTCCTCCCCGTCTCTTTCTCCCCCGATGCCAATCACAGATTCTGAGGATGACGGAGAGTCCGAGGCAGCCAAGCAGCTGATTCAGCCAATAGCTGAGAAAATCATTGCCAAGTACAAAGCCAAAGAGGAGGAGGCGCCGCTTCTGTTCTTCGTGGCCGGGGAGGTGAGTGCGGGGAGAGGCTGGGCCCCCAGGGCTGGATCAGCCGGCACTTCGGGCGCATGAGGGATCCTGGCCCCAGGGCTGCCTGTGCTCCTGAGACAGGCCACAGACAAACGTGGCAAGAAGAGGTGGCCATTCGCCGTGGAAAACCGTTTCCTCCCGTGCTGCTTCCTCTTGTCGTCCTCTCTCGGCAGCCTCAGTCCGCAGGGGAAGAGCCGGGAGCTGCTTCCCGCCCGAGCTGCTGGGGAGAGGGGCCGGGGCCGGAGTGATCCACACCCACTCCCTCGGGGCTGGGTCACGACCAGGCCCTTGAGGCTTTACAGAACGCTGGGTTGGTGCCTCCGCGCTGGCCGCAGTGGGCTGATCTCATCAGAGGGGTCCTGGCTGGGGCTACCACGTGCACCTGCGGTCACCCAGCCGGCCCGGTCAGTGCTGAGGTTGGAAATCGCTGCCGCTCCCCGGCTGTTTCACCGAGGCTGCCCCTTCGAGGTCTCTGGCAGGGCTGGACCGAGCAGGAGACTTCACAGGCTGAGAAAGTGGGGCTCTCAGCAGAGCGCCCTCCCGCAGGTGCCCCATTATCCGGGGCGTGGGACCCTGCACCCTGCACCCTGCGCCCTGCAGACAGGGGCGTCTCCGCGACTCAGCGCAGGTGCAGGCTCTCGTTCTTGAGTTCCTCCAGCCGGGAGTCTCCTCCAGGCCTGAGCTGCTGCCTCCCTTCCCCTCCCCTCCCCTCCCCTCCCCTCCCCTCCCCTCCCTTCCCCTCCCCTCCCCACCCCACCCCTGCGCCGCCGCCTCCCCTCCCCTCCCCTCCCACCCCACCGCATCCACCGACCGACAAACACTTTTGGAGGCCGCCCTCACCCCCGCCCTCTGTCCGCCCATCTGTACCTCCGGTTGGTCAGAGCCCTGTGCTGATTTCACGCTGTGTTCGGATCCCAGGAGAGGCACGGAGGAGGCAGGCGGCAGCGGCCGCCAGATACCCTGCACCACCCATTCATCACCTCCTCAGCAGCTGGCCCTGCCCAGCCCCTGGGTCCCCCACAGGGCTCCAGTCACCTGCTCAGCCCGGGGGTGGAGGGGAACAAAGAGGCTCTCAGGCCCTGCCTCGGGGCGGCTGCAGCCACTGCACACCAAGCCCAGCCCCGGAGGCTGCACCACACGCGGGAACTCTGAGCCCTGCAGAATGGCTCTGAGAAAAGATGGCTGCAGCACTGCAAGGGCTGGGCACGGGCGGGGGCGGCCTTGAGAGGTGTCAGGCCTGGAAGGAGCATCTGCAGGTTTTCTGTACACCAGGCCAGGTCCGCGTATTTCACCTGGGCTGTCTCCTTGGCTCCTGGCTCTCTGGCTGGAACACAGTCGCCGTCCTGTTTCACAGGGGAGGGAGGTGAGGTTCAGAGTGGACCAGGGGCTCCTCCGAGGCTGTTCGCTGGCTCCCGCCTGGCTGGGCTGGGTTTTGTGTCTCCAAAAATATATACAAATTAGCCCGGCAAGGCGCTGCCTGCTTGGAGTCCCAGCTACTCAGGAGGCTGAGGAGGGAGGATCGCTTGAGCCCAGGAGATGGAGGCTGCAGTGAGCTACGATTGCCTCACTGCACTCCAGCTGGGGCGACAGAAAGAGACTCTAGCTCCAAAAAAAAAAAAAAAAAAAAAAAAGAGTAGCTCCCTTACAAATCGTTTCTCCTTGTCTTTGGGTTTCTGTGTTCGCCTTGGTATCTGCGTGAGGCTGTATCTGACATTAGGGAAATTCACCAGGACAGCTGCTGGGAGTGTAGGATCAAGTACCAGCTTCCTTCTCAGATAAGCAGTGAGGCAGTGTCAGCTTCCACAGGGCTTAGGTAGCCCTGTCTTGTGAACTGGCTGGCTGTGCATCCTGCCCTGCCCGAAACCACGGCGGGGGCGAGCGGTGGGAGCACAGTGAGCTGTCTCTGTTTAAAAACATTCCAGAGCTGAAGTCCAGATTGGCCTCAGATAACCCACAGTGGGGCCGCAAATCATTGACAGTTGGTTACAAGAATAAACAGTCGGAGGCTATGGCATTTCTAGGCCGAGCACGGTGGCTCACACCTGTAATCCCAGCACTTTGGGAGGCCAAGGTGGGCGGATCACCTGAGGTTAGGAGTTCGAGACCAGCCTGGCCAACATGGTGAAACCCCGTCTCTACTAAAAATGTAAAAAATTAGCTGGGCGTGGTGGTGGGCGCCTGTAATCCCAGCTACTCAGGAGGCTGAGGCAGGAGAATCGCTTAAACCCAGGAAGCGGAGGGTGCAGTGAGCTGAGATCGTGCCATTGCACTCCAGCCTGGGTGACAGAGGAAGACTTCATCTTAAAAACAAAAAAAGGACGTGACATTTCTAAAATGCTGAGGACGTGTGAAAATGGTGTTTATGGTAATAAATACATTAATGATTAAATACAGATTACTCACCTAGTGGTTTCGGGGGGCGGATGCCAAGAGAGAATTTTACAAAGCGGCCTGTTCCTCCCGAAGGCAGGGCAGGGTTCCCTGCTTCCCATTCCCGTGCTGGGAACCCCCAGAGCTACCACACCTGGGGAGACTGGGCCCAGGGACCCTCCCGCTCCTTTCTTTAAACCGTCTTGGTTTTCTCTCCCTCCTGACGACTTCAGGATGACATGACTGACTCCCTGCGAGATTACACCAACCTGCCTGAGGCGGCCCCTTTGCTCACCATCCTGGACATGTCGGCCCGGGCCAAGTACGTGATGGACGTGGAGGAGATCACCCCCGCCATCGTGGAGGCCTTTGTGAATGACTTCCTAGCAGAGAAGCTCAAACCGGAGCCCATCTAGCGTGGCTCCGGCCTCCTGAGACATTATTTAAAACTCAGCCTTCTCCTCCTCCTCCCCCTCCTTCCCTCCGCCCTCGGACTTACCCAGCGTGCCCCGAATCACACCACCCAAGTGTCCAACCTCTCTGTGGTGCCTTGTTTCTGCATTAAACTCCTCAGCCAGCACCCTGGGGTGCGGAATCCAGCAGCGGCAGAATCCACCGTGTTTGGGAGCGTGGGATGGCTGGGGGCATGGCCCGGCCAGAGTGGGGGCTGCATCACTCTCGCAAAGTCACTTGCTTTTGGTGAAGGATTTGCCAGGGTGTTCCAGGGCAGAGTGAGCGTGGAGGGCCAGTGGCTCCCGCTCAGGCTGGGACTCGGGCATCAGCACACACAGAGCCCCGGACGGCCAGAGGGGAACCGCCGGGGGACACCTGTGTGGAGGCAGAGCTGAGAAAGGGCCTGAGCCTCAGTGGGCCTCAGCTTAGAGCTGCGGTGAGAACATCCTTTTCTAAGCGACATGGTCTTTCTCGGTCTGAGAGAAAAGCAGCCCACTCGTGTGTTTTCGGGCAGGGGATCTCCAAATGCAAAAGGAAGCTTGTGGAGGTTTTTTGGGTGAGAAAAAAAATGTAGTTAAGGTAATGGTTCGTATAGTAACGGCTAATTTTTATGGAGCTCCCGCCTCCTGATGAGAGCTCCTCATTCTTTTCTTCCTTGACCTTGAAGTCTCTGCCTGCTCATACAAAGAGCTCCCACCATCTTGAAATTCTGATAACGAATCCTTCTCTTTGGGCATCTTCCCAAGAAACTTAGCCCTGAGTCCTAGGAGGAGCACCTCTGAACCAGCACAGACCTCTGACTCCACCCAGCTCTGTGCCCGAGGCCCCGATCTCTGCTGAGGTGCACACGCCCACATTCGATCACCCCTGCCATTGCCTTTTTTCTTTTTACTTTTTTTTTTTGAGATGGAGTCTTGCTTTCTCGCCCAGGCTGGAGTGCAGTGGCATGATCTCGGCTCACTGCAACCTCCGCCCCCAAAGTTCGAGTGATTCTCCTGCCTCAGCCTCTGGAGTACCTGGGATCACAGGCGAGCGCCACTGCACCTGGCTAATTTTTGTATTTTTAGTAGAGACGGGGTTTCACAATGTTGGCCAGGCTGGTCTCGAACTCCTGACCTCAGGTGATCCACCCGCCTCGGCCTCCCAAAGTGCTGGGATTACAGGCGTGAGCCACCGCACCTGGCCCCCTTTTCAAAGCAGAATTACAAAGATGAGAAATTACCAGAAGCCTCGCCTTTTCCTAAGCACCAGCAGGAGGAGCTGTGCCCTGGGGTGGAGTGAGGGTGGAGTGAGGGTGGAGTGAGGGTGGAGGGCGTGTCGGCCACGAGTGGACCTTGTATCGCCTTTGCTAGGCCCAGGTAGGTTGTTGGCCTCTTACTTGGGCTGACTTGACCACCGAAAGAGAAACGAACAACTCTGTTCTCAGGATTGGGGATGGACGGCTTCGGCCGAGCCTTTTAGCCTCGCTCACTCAGGTGTCAGGGACTTCAAACCACCCTGGGCCTTACCCTTGGCCCCACTCAGCACTCTGCCAACCAAGACCACTGATGTGGAAAACCCAGTCCCCACCCCCTCATGAGCTGTTGACACTGTTGTTCTTTGCTGAATTGGATTGTTGATTTGTAGTTCAGAGGCGTACAGCGAGTTGGCGATTAGACGTTATGTGACGTTACCAGCCTGAAATGCGACCACCCAGTAGGAAATAAAGCAGGCATCTCTGGACCTTACCCACCGCTGGGCCTTTGCTGTCCTTAATAACAAAAGTCTTTGGTGCCGTGGTCTATCAGGGTGGGCAGCGGAGGACACCTGGTAGCTGGGAGCTGTGTCCCAGGAGTTTTGAGACCCCCAGGATGTAGCAACCGTCGCATCTTCCTGGTTTCCAGCAGCCAGGAAGCTCATCTGGATGATAGTGGCAGAGGCAGGTCCCTCCTGGGGCCCTGGCCACCGTCTCTCCTGGTTCGACCTGGCCCTGGACGGAGGGCGAATCTTCAGATCATGTACCTTGTTGTGAACATTCTTGCCCATTTCCTCCCTCCAGGGGAGCTGAGTCCTCTGAAGTCTGAGAAAGCTGGTTGGGAAAACAGGAGGAATCGCGCAGGGGTCTCCTTGTGAAGAATGGGGCAAGTGTGGGAGCCCCTTAACCCCAGCTCGTCCCAGGGCTCAGGGCTTCTCTGGGAACCCTGCCAGTGCCCCCCTTAGAGGTCGGGGTGGGTGGGATGGATGTGGCTGACCTGAATGTGGGAGATGGCAGGATTTCTGTCCGTGCCCTGTATCGTGATGGCCTTGGAGGAAAGGTGGGTTCTCTTAGTTCCTTCTACCTTTGGGGCAGAAGGAACCAAGTCCAGCGAGGGGATTGCCCTTAGTCATTGCAACTGGATTCTCGACACCAGAATTCCCCTTTTAGAGTGGATTTGTAGCTTCCTTAAGATCCGCGGGGAAGTTTTACTCCAGAGGTTCAGGTTTATACGGTGACGACTGCGGGAAACGCTAGGGCAGAATCGCTTCTGAGTGTCGGGTCGACAGTGAGAGATCGTAAAGGTCACTGGTTCGGTGAAGCGGGGGCATGATAATCCCCACCAAGCGGCTCCACAATCCCGCCAGACTCTTGCTGCTAATTGGAAGCAGGTTCAGCACCAGCTGTGGCATATTCAAGGGCTTCCTCCAGCAGCCAGGAAAACCAGGCCCTGCAGGTGGAGGCCGGGGGCTGTGAAAATGCCACCCTGGGGTTCCCAAGTGTGTGTTTACCACAGTGACTTCCAGATGCCATCGGCCCGTTCTCACAACAGAGATGAGGGTGGGTTTTTTTTTTTTTTTTTTTTTTTGAGACGGAGTCTCGCTCTGTCGCCCAGGCTGGAGTGCTGTGGCCGGATCTCAGCTCACTGCAAGCTCCGCCTCCCGGGTTCACGCCATTCTCCTGCCTCAACCTCCCGAGTAGCTGGGACTACAGGCGCCCGCCACCTCGCCCGGCTAGTTTTTTGTATTTTTTAGTAGAGACGGGGTTTCACCGTGTTAGCCAGGATGGTCTCCATCTCCTGACCTTGTGATCTGCCCGCCTCGGCCTCCCAAAGTGCTGGGATTACAGGCCTGAGCCACTGCACGTGGCCTGTGTTTTTTTAACCTGTCTCCCAGCATTAAAGATCTGTTTAAGAAAAAGGGTATGTTTTCCACATTGAATTCCTGATTGGGAAAAACAAAATTTAAAAAAGGGAAAAGGGCATGTTCGGGACGGGCATGCACGGCAGATGAAAACCAGCTTCTTTTCCAGAGAGAGGTGACCTCCCGCTCTTGCTTTTCGCCCCTTGGTACGTCCTTGAAATCATCGGCCATCACTTACCAGAATACAGGGAGACAGTACTGTGTTGGCATCGGCCAAGCTTCTAATAGTAATTTTCAGCCAGACTTTGTTTTTTCCTGTTGCCTAATTAAAGACACTGAAAAGCTGTTCTCCCCTCCTGCTGCCTTGTTCTAGGACAGCAAACTGAATTCAGCAACAATACAGACGGAGCCAGATGTGGCCCAGGAGCAGATCCGCGGGACCTAACACGGTGCTGCACGGTGCAGCTTAGGGAGAAAACGCAATGTGTGAGAGGGCACAGGTGCCGGAATCCTGCACACCAGGAAGCGTGGTGCTGGGAGGGCCCTGAGGGCACACATGTAGGAACCCTGCACACCGGGAAGCGTGGTGCTGGGAGGGCCTTGAGTGAGGGCACACGCGTCGGGACCCTGCACGCCGGGAAGCGTGGTGCTGGGAGGGCCCTGAGGGCACACATGTAGGAACCCTGCACACCGGGAAGCGTGGTGCTGGGAGGGCCTTGAGTGAGGGCACACGCGTAGGAACCTTGCACACTGGGAAGTGTGGTGCTGGGACGACCTTGATTGAGGGCACACGCGTCGGGACCCTGCACGCCGTGAAGCGTGGTGCTGGGAGGGCCCTGAGTGAGGGCACACGCTGTTCACAGTGCTCTTGCCCCAGGCAGGCCCATGAATGGTGCCCGCTAGGACTAGAAGGCCGCTGTTGTACACGCTGTGGGTGGCTGGGCACACAGGCCCGTAGGTTCAGGATGCCTCCTGCAGCTTCTCTCTGGGGGCAGCTTTGGGAGCCAAGGACTGAGCAGGGGGCCATGAGCTCAAAGGATCTTTCCAGTTTTCCCCGAAGCAGCTGAATGAGAGAAGTGGGCACTTAGCGCCACCCCTCACTGCTGCCACCGACAGACGAGAGCACACACCTGCTTCCTCCAGGCTGCGGCTGCTCAAGGGAAAATTATTTGGGAACAAATAGCTGTTGATCATTAGCTTCGTTAGTGCTGGGAACATAACAAGGGTATTCTGGGTGCACCTTGTGTGTGGGCGCATGAAGACAGGTCAGTATGCTTACTGTCATTTTTCAAGGCGTGTGTCCCACCCCCTTGGTGGTTTCAGATACTTCCCAAGCCTGAGAATGTGTTTGGAGGTTTGGGTGGAACTGCTGGGTTTCTGTTAAATAACACACAACTCGCGAAAGCCTCTGTCCCAGGTCTGCAGGCCAGTGTGCAGTCCAGAGGCAGAGACAGCCTGCAGTCTGGATTCCTGGGTGCTCAGGCCTCACACACATGAGGAAGTCACCCACGTGTGCTAGAACTAGGATACAGTAGGAGATGCGATCTCGGGGCCAAAAAAATCAATCTCTCTTGAATGTCAGAGGACATGGAAATCCTGTCCCTGTCAGGGAAGAGCCACTCAGCTTGCAGTCAGCACACCCCGCCCTTGGCGTCTCGGAGGAGCAGGGAAGGGAGGCTGAGGCTCCTCCCTCCCCAACCGTGTTCCCTGTTCCCTTCCTGCATTTTTTTTTTTTTTTTGAGACGAGTTTCACTCTTGTCACCCGGGCTGGAGTGCAGTGGTGTGATCTGGCTTACTGCAACCTCCGCCTCCCGCGTTCAAGCGATTCTTCTGCCTCAGCCTCCCTTCCCTGCTCCTCTGAGATGCCGAGTAGCTGGGATTACAGGCACCTGCCACCACGCCCGGCTAATTTTTTAGTATTTTTAGTAGAGACGGGGTTTCACCGTTTTAGCCAGGATGGTCTCGAATTCCTGACCTCGTGATCCGCCCGCCTTGGTCTCCCAAAGTGCTGGGATTACAGGTGTGAGCCACCGCGCCCGGCCCCCTTCTTGCATTTTGAGGAAACAGCAGCCTTGGTCATGGCCCATAACAACTCAGACTTCAACTGAAAGAAGTGGGTGTTCTCTACACAGCAGTCCAGGAAGCCAGATACTGGGGGTGTGGTGAGAACAGAACTGACCCATCCATCAGCCATTCCGGATTCTCCGTCACTCTCAGCCGCAGAGCATCAGCCAGGCTTCCTGAGCATTGAGAGGACTTGGCTTCAGCCTCTGTCTCGGCTGCTCGAATGTAAGGTGGTTCCGTCATTCAGAGACTTCAGTCATCCTGAGCAATAAACCAGCTCATCCATTAACTTGGCCCCTAGCTTATCACGTGTGTGCACTCACTGCACTGATGAAAACAGGAAGCGTGGCGGGCGCAGTGGCTCACGCCTGTCCTCCCAGCACTCTGGAGGCTGAAGCAGAAGGACAGCTTGAGGCCGGGAGTTCAAGACTAGCGTAGGCAACATGGCAAAACCCCATCTGAAAAAAAAAAAAAAAAAAGGAAAGAAAGAACATAGAGGAAGTACAATCATGGAAATTTTAAGGTGGCAACGTGTTTTCTTAAAAGCAGGTGAGCCTGTCAGGTCTGCTTCTGAGGGAGAGGTGGCTTGGTCAAGAGGGCGGCCCCAGGCCCTGCAGTGCAGCTGGTGATTTTCAGTGCAAAGCTCTGGAACCTTGGATGGGGTGTGCGTCTGGGCTGTGTGCAGCAGAATGGCAAAAGTGGGGCTAAGTATGGCCTGGCGTGGCTGGTGCGGACATCTGGGGTTGCTGCCAACCCCGGGGCAAGCGGTGGGAGGTCCCAGGTGAACGGCGGGTCCCTTGAGGTCTGTTTCTCCTCTGGACCTTAATGACCAGGCTCCCAGCCAGGAGCCAGCGGCTGGGGCAAGGGGAGTGATTTCAGCGCCCTCTGCCCCGAAGCAGGAACTGCAGGGCCAGCCGGGGGACACCCAGCGTGAGTTCCAGGCACATCTGGACATCTGTGCTTTGCCCAGAGTTGCTTTCTCAGAGGCTCCAGTCAGAGAAAAGTTGTGCTGGTTTCTCCTGCTATTTCCCGTTGGTCCTCTTTGGCCTCCGTTTTTGTTCCATGTCTTCCTGTACTCCAGGTTTGTTCTTCTGAGATCATGTGGGACAATCCTGATGAGTCTCCACCTTTAACACCCTGGAGCACACACAGCAAAATGCTTCACTCCACCCTCCTGTCCTCCCTCGTCAACCCCTGAAATCCAGGAAAAAATCGCAGCCCCGCCCTTCAGCACTGGGGTGGTTTTGGAGGCGTCGCCTGCCACCTCCTGGCAGACGCCACTGTGGCAGCTTCGCGGCCACACAATGGCGCGGGAGCGCGGCCAACATCCCGACAATGTTTGTCTCTCGGCCAAGCAGTGTTTTTCTTGTGAAATGTTGCTCGTTTTTTATTCCTGTTTACTGGGGAAATGGTGACAGAACGAATGTCAGCCTCAAAACTGAGGATTCAAGGTAGTGATTTTCCAAAATCACTCAGCAAATAACTACCATCTGCTTCCCTGGATTCACTGAAGAAAGGACAATTTGCCTCCCTCCTGCACCCTCCCTCGTCCCTTCTAAATTATACC